CTTGCTCTGTTGCCCAGGCTGGAGTGTAGTGGCCTGATCTTGGCTCACTGCAACCTCCACCTCCTGGGTTCAAGTGATTCTCTTGCCTCAGCCTCCCGAGTAGCTGGGACTACAGGCACGTGCCATCACACCCAACTAATTTTTTTTTTTTTTTTTTTTGAGATGGCATCTCGCTCTGTCGCCAGGCTAGAGTGCAGTGGCATGATCTTGGCTCACTACAGCCTCCCCCTCCGGGTTCAAGCGATGCTCTTGCCTCAGCCTGCCAAGTATCTGGGACTGTAGGCACACATCACCAGGCCCAGCTAATTTTTGTATTTTTAGTAGAGACAGGGTTTCACCATGTTGACCAGGATGGTCTCGATCTCCTGACCTCATGATCTGCCTGCCTTGGCCTCCCAAAGTGCTGGGACCTTGCCCGGCCTAATTTTTGTATTTTTAGTGGAGATAGGATTTCACCATGTTACTTAGGCTGGTCTCGAACTGCTGACCTCAGGTGGTCCGCCTGCCTTGGCCTCCCAAAGTGCTGGGATTACAGGTGTGAGCCACCACGCCCAGCCTACTCTGTCACTTTTTATACTCACTGGCTCACACTACCCATCCCCCTCCACCCCACACACACACACAGGTACCTCATGCACACACACTTCCGCCATCCTGTTAGTAGCACTCTGGGAGAGTGAGTTACAGAAGCTCCACACGTGCTTGGGTGAATGCGGCCCCCGCAAGGTGCCAAGGAGCAGTCCCCAGCTCTTTTCTACTTTTCTGGAGTGTGGATTGGTGAGAAAGCATCTGGGAGCCGGGCAAGGAACAGGCCTCTGTCCACATGCAGCCAAACCTCTAGGTGCAGACTTTGGTGGTGCTTTAGATGGTGTGGGAGTGGAGAATGTACCCTGCCTGATTTTCTGCAGCACGCTCTAGAGGCCAAGGAGGCGTGAAGGGGCCCAGGGCTCCCCAAACTGTAGGGCTGGGAAGGTGGTGGGAGGGTTGTGGCCAGTCTTCCTGAGGATGTGGTGGGGGGAGGTGGGGCAGGTAAAACAGGTGGACACTGTGATCTAGATGTCCTGGAACACTGCCCCAACTCCTCCCACCAGCAGACCCCCAGCGAAGTGGGGGAGGTGGTGAAGTCATGAACCAATCCTATTTCACCCAGATAGAATGAGCAGTCTCAGCTGGGCGCAGTGGCTCATACCTGTAATCCCAGCACTTTGGGAGGCCGAGGCGGGCAGATCTCAAGGTCAGGAGATCGAGACCATCCTGGCTAACATGGTGAAACCCTGTCTCTACTAAAAATACAAAAAAAATTAGCTGGGCATGGTGGTACACGCCTGAAGACCCAGCTACACGGGAGGCTGAAGCAGGAGAATTGTTTGAACCCGGAGGCAGAGGTTACAGTGAGCCAAGATCACGCCACTGCACTCCCACCTGTGCAACAGAGGGAGACTCTGTCTCAAAAAAAAAAAAAAAAGAAAAAAAGAATGAGCAGCTTCAGGGTGATGCCGTGCAGGGCGTTGGCTCACCTTTCTGGGAATCCTCATCAGGGTCAAACGTTGTCCAGCCTGAATCCTCACTCTGTGGGGGAGAAAACTAAGGCACGGAGAGGGATCAGGCCTTGCTCAGGCCACATGGCCAGTCCGCGGCGGGTGGGCATCAGAATCCAGGCCTGTTCCTTGAAACCTCCCGGCTATTCCTGCTGGAACTGCCCTCCCCCTGCCCCACTCTCCTTCTCTTCCTCTGCCCCCTCCTCATTCAGCTGCCACCTGCTGGCTGTCTCGTCCCACAGGGCCCCTGTGCAGCATCCTGGTGGTACGCTTCGGCTGCCGAGGGACTGCGATGCTGGGAGGCGTGCTGGCCAGCCTGGGCATGGTGGCTGGCTCCTTCTCCCGCAGCCTCAGCCAGCTCTACTTCACAGCAGGATTCATCACAGGTGACTATCACTCCATCTCCAGAATTTATAGGCACCTACTAGAAAGTGCTGGGCACACAGACATGGTAGCTCATGCTTGTAATCCCAGCACTTTGGGAGGCAGAGGCGGGCAGATCACAAGCTCAGGAGTTTGAGACTAGCCTGGCCAACATGGAGAAACCTCGTCTTTACTAAAAATACAAAAGTTAGCCAGGCGTGGTGGTGGGTCCCTGTAGTCCCAGCTACTTGGGAGGCTGAGGCAGGAGAATCACTTGAACCCGGAAAGCGGAGGTTGCAGTGAGCCAAGATCACACCACTGCACTCCAGCCTGGGCCACAGACAAGACTCCATCTCAAAAAAAAAAAAAAAAAAGACAGGCAGGGCGTGGTGGCTCACGCCTGTAATCCAAGCACTTTGGATTACACACCTGTAATCCAAGGCAGGCGGATCACCTGAGGTCAGGAGTTCAAGACCAGCCTGACCAACATGGGGAAACCCCGTCTTATATTTTTTAATATAAAAATAAAAATTAAAAAATAAAAGACAAAGTACTGGAATTACAGGTGTGAGCCCATCGCACCCAGCCCTTCCACAGCATTTTGTTGTAAGGGGACCGGAGAAATGGACTATATCCAGAAGTGGTTATGAGGTCAACAGAGGGTTGTTTTTTTTTTTAATGGGAGAAATAATGAAGTAGAATGATCAAGGAAAGAGAAAAAGGATGATGCAGGACAGAAGGGACCTGCTAGAGAGGTGCCTCTGAGTGGAAAGGATGCAGGACAGAAGGGAGGGACAGCCACTGGGGCACGGGCAGGCCATTGTCACTGGTGGGCATGTGGACAGCTGAGCATGAGGATAGGGAGGAGGCATTGGGATGCACAGAGGAAGAGACCCAGTACTCACCTAGCAGGGCAGGCAGCGGGTGACCGAGGGAGCTATACTGGTGGCACAGGCAGCCTGAGGCCATGGTCACACGTGATTGGGAGCTTTCTCTCCAGCATGCTCAGGTGTGCAGCTGCAGACACCGAGTGGGTGGGGAGTTGGGAAGGCCTCTCTGGAGAGGTGGCGGCTGAATTGAGAGGAACATGGAAAGTCTGGAGGAAGCAGATTCCAAGCAGAAGGAACAGTAGCTACAAATGTCCCGAGGTAGGGGCAGCTTCATGTCCAGAGGCAGAGAAAGAAGCTACTGTGGCTTGATCATAGTGATTGACAGGGAGTGGCCTGAGATGGCATCTGAGGGGTGGGCTGGAGCCAGACCACAGAGAGCCTTCCAGAGCTTCGTGGATACTTTGGATCTGTTTTCAAGTGGGATGGGAAGTCTTTGGAAGGTGTTAAGCCAAGAGAGAACCTAATCCAATTTGGGGGTTTGTTTGTTTTTGAGACAGAATCTCTCTCTCTTGCCCAGGCTGGAGTGCAGTGACAATATCTTGGCTTACTGCAACCTCCACTTCCTGGGTTCAAGCAATTCTCCTGACTCAGCCTCCCAAGTAGCTGGGACTACAGGTGCCTACCATTATGCTCAGCTAATTTTTGTATTTTTAGTAGAGAGGGGGTTTCACTATGTTGGCCAGGCTGGTCTCAAACTCCTGAGCTCAAGTGATCCACCAGCCCCAGCCTCCCATAGTGCTGTGATTACAGGAGTGAGCCACGGCGCCCAGCCCAATTTGGGTTTTTAAAAGATAACTGTTGTGCTACACCAAGGGGAACAGGAATGCCCTGGCAGCCTTGGGAGGGCAGATCTGGGAAGGGGTGCTTACAGGGAGGTGGTGAGGCCAGCTGACTCCATCTTCAGTCCCCGGGGACTTAGACCTGGGTATGGACTAGAACCAGAGGAGGGCAGGTGTGTGGAATGGGCCGACACCACCCCCGGATGCAGGTGGAAGGCCCCCCCAGCATGCCTCCAGGCTGGTCTTCCCTCTTGCCCCGCAGGCCTGGGCATGTGCTTCAGCTTCCAGTCGAGCATCACGGTGCTGGGCTTCTACTTTGTCCGCCGACGGGTGCTGGCCAACGCACTGGCATCTATGGGCGTCTCCCTGGGCATCACACTCTGGCCACTGCTCTCCCGCTACCTCCTGGAGGATCTGGGCTGGAGGGGTACCTTCCTTGTCTTTGGTGGAGTCTTTCTCCACTGCTGCATCTGCGGGGCCGTCATGAGGCCTGTGGCCACCAGCGTGGCCCCTGAGACCAAAGAATGTCCCCCGCCACCTCCCAAGACACCTGTGCTCGGCTGCCTGGCTGCCTGTGGCCAGACCATCCAGCGCCACCTGGCCTTTGACATCCTGCGGCACAACACAGGCTACCGCGTGTACACGCTGGGCGTGATGTGGTCAATCCTGGGCTTCCCACTGCCACATGTCTTCCTGGTGCCATATGCCATGCGGCACAGAGTGGACGAGCAGCAGGCAGCCCTTCTCATCTCCATCATCGGCTTCAGCAACATCTTCCTGCGGCCCCTAGCCGGGCTGGTGGCAGGACGGCGGGCCTTTGCCAGCCACCGCAAGTACCTGTTCAGCCTGGCAGTCCTGCTCAACGGGCTCACTAATCTGGTGTGCGCAGCATCAGCCGACTTCTGGGTGCTTGTGGGCTACTGCCTGGTGTACAGCGTGTCCATGAGTGGCATCGGCGCCCTCGTCTTCCAGGTCCTCATGGACATTGTCCCCATGGATCGCTTCCCCAGCGCCCTGGGACTCTTCACCGTCCTGGACGGACTTGCTTTCCTCATCTCCCCGCCACTGGCCGGTGAGGAGCTGGGAAGGAGGGCAGCCAGGTAGTGTGGTAAAAGGGGAACAGTCTAGACAGCTCTGGGTCCAGTCCAGCATCTCCAGGGTGTGTGCTACAGCCGGTTTTCCACCTGGCATTCAGGGTAGGATCAGCTGAAAGCATGGCTTTGTGTACCAGACCTCAGTCCTCCATCATCGTCCCTGTACCTCCTTTTTCCTTTTTCTTTTTTTTTGAGACGTGGAGTCTCACTCTGTCACCCAGGCTGGAGTGCAGTGGCACAATCTCGGCTCACTGCAACCTCCGCCTCCCAGGTTCAAGTGATTCTCCTGCATCAGCCTCCTGAGTAGCTGGGACTACAAGTGTGTGCCACCATGCCTGACTAATTTTTTTGTATTTTTAGTAGAGATGGGGTTTCACCACGTTAGCCAGGATGGTCTCAATCTCCTGACCTCATGATTCGCCCACCTCATGGCCTCCCAAGGTGCTGGGATTACAGGCGTGAGCCACTGTGCCCAGTGCATCCAAGGGAATTTTTTTCTTTTCTTTTTTTTTTTTTTTTTTTTTGAGACGGAGTCTCACTCTGTGGCCCAGGCTGGAGTGCAGTGGTGTGATCTCAGCTCACTGCAATTGCTGTTGCCCGGAGTTCAAGTGATTCTCCTGCCTCAGCCTCCCAAGTAGCTAGGATTACAGGCGCCTACCATCGCGCCTGGCTAATTTTTACAGTTTTAGTAGAGACAGGGTTTCATCATCTTGGCCAGGCTGGTCTTGAACTCCTGACTTTGTGATCCACCCACCTCAGCCTCCCAAAGTGCTGGGATTATAGGTGTGAGCCACTGTGCCTGGCCACAAGGGAATTCTTTTTTCCTTTTTTTAAAAAAAAATCTTTTTTTTTAAATAAAGATGGGGTTTCACCATGTTGGTCAGGCTGTTCTTGAACTCCCAACCTCAGGTGATCCACCCGCCTTGGCCTCCAAAGTGCTTGGATTACAGGCGTGAGCCACCATGCCTGGCCAGGAATTCTTTAAGCAAACAAGTTGGGAGAGCTCTCCAGAAGGAGGCATAGGAGAGATCTGGAGGGTGCTGAGCAAAGATTCCACTAGTTCCCTGCCACCAAGGGTCAGCAGGTCATATCCCTGAGTTATCTTGCAGCCTGAGGACTCTTCCTGCCCAGGCCAGAAGGGTTTAGTGTTTCTTCCCCTCCTTTCATTCAACAAGTATCTGTTGCGTGTCTACTGGGTGTCAGCCACAATTCCTGGTACAGCAGAGACAAAAATAAAATCCCCGCTGTCAGGAACACACAGTTTGGTTGGGGGGAGGCCTGGTAGCACTGGCCTAACTTGATCTCTATCCGCTAGGGCTCCTCCTGGACAGCACCAACAACTTCAGCTATGTTTTCTACATGTCCAGCTTCTTCCTCATCTCAGCTGCCCTCTTCATGGGCAGTAGCTTCTATTCCCTGCAGAAGAAGGAGCAGCAAGGCAAGCAGGCTGTCGAGACAGATGCCTTAGAGCAGGATCTTTTCTTGGAAGGCAAAGACGGTTCTGGGAAGCAATGGTGCCCTGAGATCATGTATGTGACCAGCGTCTAAGACCCAGGGGTCACCTATGTGACCAATGTCTGAGTCCTGAAGTTACTGAGTGAACAGTCTCAGCCCAGGAGGGGGACCTCCAGCTCCTTGACCAGGGGCTCTGGTGAAGAGCAGCCCAGGAAACTCAGGCTGTCAAGGCTGTGCAAGCTGGGACTCTACCAGGAACTGAGACCTTGGTTTGGATCCTAGAATCGGTGAAGTCTGAGGGCCCGCCCTGCAGTCTCAGCAGGACCTACTCTATCTAGGGACTTCCTCCTTCCTTTCCCCACCCTGTCTCCTTGGTGGGGAGGATTATTGCTGGGTGGGGGAAGCCAGACATTTGACCAGGGGAGAGGAGGGCTTGCCAGGCAGCCCGAAGACCGCTGTGAAAATGGAACTGCTTCTGCAAGAGAAGTTCTTCTACTCCCCAATCCTGTCCTCCGGAGGCCCCCCTTTCCCCCTGCTGTGTTAGAGGTGTCAACCCTGGGGTAAGTGGCTGGCTGATCCAGCTGCCAGTTCACCCCTGCTCCCTGTACACCTGTGCCTTTGACATGGAGGTCTGAGCTCCCCCAACACACATTTTGCTGGTGCCTTTCCCCAAGATCACCACCCAGGGGTTAGCTTTCATCAGCCCACTCTTGTCCCAGCAGGGTACCGAGAGAATGAGAAAACAGAATGTGTTTGAATTATACACAAAAATGTTCCCTGCAGCAGGTCATAAACTCTGTGAACTAATAAAGCTGGAAAACAGGGCTGGAGTTTTCCCCAACCCCCTTCCTTTCCTCCCCCCTCAGTAAGGGGTGCTCAGGTTCAGGATGTTGTTTGTTGATTCAGGCTTAACCAGGCTCTGGCAAGAAAACCTTATCAGGAGATTTTATTTTCATGAGCTGATGCCAGTCTTCCCGCCCCCCATGTCCAGCTGGTGTGAATAAGTATCCTTGGGGATGTCCTGCTTCCTCCAGGAGCAGCCATGAGTGTCTCTTGTGGCCAAAGGCGGTACTGCAGGCAAAGCAAAGGGCTTGGGCGGGAATAGCCCTGAGTGTGTTTGACTCTACCACTATCTGCCATGTGATTTTGGGCAAATTGTTGACCACCTCTGAGCCTTGAAAAAGTAGGAGGTTACTTTGTTATGGCAAAATAATAAAATTTAATTTAATTTAAAAAAAGAAAACATAGGAGGTTCGCCTGGATGAGCTCGTCTCTTTCAGTTGAAAAGTCTGACTCAGTGATCATCCTGAAGACCCCATTGCCTTCTGGCTCCCCACCCAGTCTTACACTTGTCTGCCATCAATAACACGTGCTCTGAAGGGAGAATGCTTGCGTGTGCTTCTCCAGGTCCTGTCTCCCCCATCTCAATGGAATGGGAAAGGAGGAAGTTTGGTGCTAGTATCCACTAGGTTTTGAGTGCATCCCGTAAAGAGCCCACTTCCTGAAAACATTTAAAACAGATATCAGCTGGAGATGGTAATGTGCATATGTAATCCCAGCTACTCGGGAGGCTGAGGCAGCAGAATCACTTGAACCTGGGAGGTGAAGGTTGCAGTGAGCTGAGATAGCGCCACTGCACTCCAACCTGGCGACACAGCGAAGCGAGACTTCATCTCAAAAAAAAAAAAAGAAAAACAAGTCCAGGCACGGTGGCTCACACCTGTAATCTCAGCACTTTGGGAGGCCGAGGCGGGTGGATCACTTGAGGTCAGGAGTTCAAGATGGCAAAACCACGACTCTACTAAAAATACAAAAATTAGCCAGGTGTGATGGCAGGCACCTATAATCCCAGCTACTTGGGAGGCTGAGGCAGGAGAATTGCTTGAACCCAAGAGGCAGAAGTTGCAGTGAGCTGGGATCATGCCACCGTATTTCAGCCAGGGTGACAGAATGAGACTATCTCAAAACAAAAAACAAAACAAAACAAAAAAACAATAAAAACGTTTTGGGAGGCCACGGCAGGAGGATCGCTTGAGACCAGGACTTGAAGACCAGCCTAGGCAACATAGAGACCCCATCTCTACAAAAAAATTAAGGAAAGTGGGGGAAAAGCTGAGTGTGGTGGATCATGCCTATAATCCCAACACTTTGGAAGGCCAAGATAGGAAATCACTTGAGAGGCCAGCCTGGGCAACATAAGGAAACCTGCATCTCTACAAAAAGTTTGAAAATTCACTGGACATGGTGGCACAGACCTGTAGTCCAAGCTGCTCAGGAGGCAGAGGTAGAAGGATCCCTTGAGCCACGAAGTTCAAGGTCACAGTGAGCTGTGATCACACCACTGCACTCCAGCATGAGTGATGAGCCCTTGTCCCCCTGCCAAAAACAAAAAGGCTATCACTGAATGTTCTGCATAGGAAACTGACCTCACCTGCTCCTAGGCAAGAGTGGCAATCATCTCTGGGCAGAATTCCTTCAATAAATATTTATTAAGTATCTACTGTGCGCAAGAGACTAAGCAGAGGTAAGACCTACCAATGGCTGAGAATTCTACCCCAAGGAAGATCCCTCCTGGAGGCCTTAAGAAGGGAGAAGACCAATGAGGGAGGAGGATGGGGGTGGCACATCTGATTCTACAGTCCCCACTTAGCTGATTGCCTGCGAACCTCTAGAGAAGGTCTGGGGCAATTCCTGGGCAGGGAGGAATGGAACTTATTTCTATCCTTGCCTCCGTTCATGGGCTCCCCTTTGCTGCTGTGTCCAGCAAGAGGCAGAGAAACTGCTTGGGCACCTTGGGGTAAGATGTACTTCGCAGGCTGCAGAGGCTCCCAACAGACACCAAGGGGCTTTGGGGAGGGTCCTGGGGCCTAAGCACCCAGACTAAGGTTGAAACTCCTGCCTCCGAGGGTGTGCAGTGTATAGGACAGGGGCTGATGGCAAGGACCCGAAGCCTCAGAGGTAGGGCCTGCTTCCAATGGGGCCGCAGCTGGCTGGACTGTGACAGCCACTCTGCCTTCATCCAGGCCCAGGGCTTCAGGTATGGTCCTTGCCTTTGTCATCCTAAATAACAGAGAGGCTCTCTCAAAGAAAATGCCATCTCTTTGGGCATAGGGCATTGCAGTGGTAATATGCATGGCATAGTAAACCATATGGGTATTCAGGGAGGTAAAGGAAGACAAAGGCTTTAAGGGAAAAATTAGGATTACCTGTTTTGAGATAATTATCGCTAGGTAGAAGGATTCACAACAAGAGTGACCAGTTCAAGGTTGGACGGGCAGTTGTTGGGCAGATGACCGTGCAGAAGTATGTTTTGTGCAAGTTTGTGATGGCCTTTATGCAACGTGGTGGTTTTTGCAGTCTTTGTGATAGTTTTGATTATCAGATATTTATGCATGAGAACTCTCTCGTCGTGGGTTTCTTGGACTCTGTCGGGGTTTTGTTTGTTTTTTAATGCAAGTGACTCTACTTTTGTACTCTCAGGACATGCACAGCCTAAGCCACCTATACCACATTGTCAAACACGATTGGAGTGTGGCAAGGCCACCTCCTTCCCTGGTGCTTTGTTCCCTGTGACCACTAGTAATCCAGCACACATCCGCTTCCTGAGAATCCCCGAGAGGGAACCGGCCGAAGGGCTTCAGCATCCAGAAAGCCCTGAAAGCGCCACATCCAAGGCTCCTCCTCCGGCTCCCCGGTGCTGCCCCAGGCGCGCGCCGTCCACCCGACTGACGAAAAGCCCCAGGACATAACCCAGTCCCCTTGATTTCTGTCCAGAGGTGGCGGATCCACCTCGGGGCTGGGATGGAGGGCGTATCGGGGTCGCCAGGCTTTTTGCAAAAGGGGCAAAGGACCAATGGGGGGCGCAGAGAGCTGACGCCCGCGCTCCTAAGGGCCGTCCTGGTCAAGGAGGCTGGGCCCCGCCCCCGCCAGCCGTGGGGGCCCTGGAGGTGCTTCTGCCTTGACGTCCTGCCACATGGGTTCTGGCAGACTCTGCTGCTCCTCGCGGAATTCCAGCCGCCCGACGTGGGCGTCTCACCTTCTGGGCCACGTCGGGGCGGTGGAGGACCCCGGGGAATCGGCAGGAGAGTAGGAAAGGTGGGGCGGGAAAGCTGAGCGAGGCCCTCACCCGCCCTCCCATCGGCCGGGGCAGCAAGTGGGTTTCTTTCTTGCGTTCAGATTTTGCAGTAATTTGCAGCTGGAAACAAGATATGGGAAACCAGGCTGCTCCTCGCAGTAAACCCACCCACGCCCGCACCTGTCTCAGCGAAGCCGCTCGCAGCGGGCTGCACCCCAGGGTGAAGGGGTTCCGCCTCCAGAAAAAACGTAACCCCGCGGAGTACGCGCGCCAGGGAGTTCGCCGACGACCCCGCCCCGGCCCCGCCCCCTCCGCCCCGGCCCCGCCCCCTCCGCCCCGGCCCCGCCCCTTCCGCCTCATTAAGGGCGGAGACAGCGCGGCTTCCGCTGGGGGTTCGGAATAGAGCCCGGTAGCCGGGGATCCGGGGCTGGTGTCCCCTCCGCAAGCTCCAACTCGCAGACTGTTCCTCGTCTCCCGCGCCCCAATTTCGATTTTCAAACCCAACTCCTACAGGATTCTGAGACCCCCGCCCCATCTCCCACATCCCATTTCCAGCTTCAAATTGCTGTAGAATCTGAACCCTGGAAAGAAACCCGTTTGCCGCCCCGCGTCTTCCCTCTCCACACAGATGGAGGGCAGGTGAAGGTCTCGCTCGGCTTTCCCCCTGCACCTTTCCCACCCTCCTGCCCGTCCCTGGGGGTCCTCGGCCACACCGGCCATGGCCCAGAAGCCGAAGGTGGACCCCCACGTCGGGCGGCTGGGATTCCTGCAGGCGCTGGTCACAGAATTCCAGGAGACCCAGAGCCAAGGTGAGAGCCACGGTGGGGCCAGGGGGCAGGGTCTGCTGTGGCCGCCGCTCCGACCTGGCTCCAGTGCCGCTTTCCCGTTGCAGACGCCAAGGAGCAAGTCCTCGCCAACCTCGCCAACTTCGCTTATGACCCCAACAACTACGAGTATCTGCGGCAGCTGCAGGTCCTGGATTTATTTCTTGATTCGCTGTCGGAGGAGAATGAGACCCTCGTGGAGTTTGCTATTGGTAAGGGCGGGGCCGGTTCCCTAGATGTCTAATGGGCCGGGGTGAGATAAGTGAATTAGAATTGAGTCGTTGGGGCCAGGCGTGGTGGCTCACGCCTGTAATCCCAGCACTTTGGGAGGCTGAGGCAGACGGATCACTTGAGCTGAGGAATTTGAGAT